TACTCCGCAGACTCCCTGACCCATGGCCCCCAGGGATGGCGGGCGGGGCAGTTCCGGGGCCAGTGTGGGCAGACTGCCGGGCGGGGGCTGGCTCCTGGATCCAGCTGAGGCCAGGTCACGCGTGAGTGGGGGTGCAGTCTAGGGGGCCCGAGTTCTGCCGCCCTTGGGAAGGACGGGATGGCCTGTCTGGGTCAGGGCTGGAGTCCGAGCGCCACTGCCGCAACACGCCCTTCCCAGCCCCGCTCCCCGGCTCTGAGGCTGGAGCTGCTGAGAGCAAACCGGAGGAAGGGGGGAGGTGTTTGCCAGCAGGAGGGGGCGCTGCGGTGCCCCTCAAGGAGAATGGGGCTCAGTCTCACTGGGGGGCAACAAGTGATGCCCAGGAGGTCACCCCAGCCCTTCCGGGGCGCACGTGTCTGAGCCTGGGGACCAGAGGAGGGGGGTACGAGCGCAGGTGGGGTGCCCCCCCAAGGGCCCACTGTCCTGGAAGCCAAGAAGTTTGCCCTTGGCTAGGGCAGAGGTGACAAGGTGGAAGGGCGGCTGGGTCCCCCTCACTCAGGCCTGGTGTCAGCAGGTTTGGGGGAGCCAAACCGGAGAAAGCCCGTTTACCGTATTTCACAGAATAGACGGTGTCCCGTAATTCCCAGGGGCACCGTGGGAGGCCCGGGGAGGTCAAGGACTGGAGCCAGCTGGGTTGGGGCGCAGCCCGCCCGCGCCCGCCCCCCCCACGCCCGCCCCGCCCCCCCAGGAGCCAGCGCAGCTTTCATCCTGTTTATTGTGGTCATGTCCTGGCGGTAGCAGTCACACCACCTCATCGTACACAGGCATGGGGTTGACCTGGGGGCCGCCGGTGGGGACCCCTGCAGCTCCCGCCCCCTCATCCCCCTCCTCGCTGGGCTTCTTTCTGGCTTCGGCAGGGGGCCGGGGTGGGGGGTTGCTGGGTGGCTGCTTGATGGTCGTGCCCACCTGCGGGCGCTCCTTGGGCTTGTGCTCAATGGGGGCCCACTGCTCCCCGCGGGTGGCCGCCTGCAGGACAGGGAGAGGCTGGGCGGGGCTCAGCCACCCCGCCCTCCAGGGCCCACCCTGCCAGGGACCCCGAAAGACAAGGTGGGCTGGTGGTTCACCCCAAAGACAAGCTCGCGCCAAAAGGGAGGGTCCCCCGGGTTTCTGAGAGCCCCAGCAGGAGAGCAGGCCAGGGTACCCATCACACTGGGCCCACCCTGGGCTCTCCCCAGCCCAGAGCCTCCCTGGGGGGCTGGGGTACCGGGACATGATGCCCGGAGAACTGACACAGACTCCCAACATCAAGCAGGCAAAGAGAGAATAAAATGTGGATAAACAAAGTGTCAGAGGACACAAACAGAAGACAGGATGAGCCGCTGCCACCCCCCGCTGCCAGGTGGGGTGCCCAGTGTGGATGGAGCTGCGACCCCAGGCCCGGCACCCACAGACACACGTGACCTCAAGCTGGGGCGCACAGAGGCCCACCCCCAGCCGGGACATCAGCCCCGGCAGAGCTGCGGGATAGAGGGCGAGCGGGGGGCGGGGGCGCCCGCGGACTGCAGCGCCCCCGCCCCGCCGCCGAAGGGCAAAGTGCCCGAGACCCAAACCCCAGCTGAAAACGTGGGCACAGATGTGGGGCTGAGGGACGCTGCTGGGGTGAGACGCCGGGGCGGGGGGCGCGGGCGCGGGCCCTGACTGGCGCTTCCGCTTCCGCTTCCACTTCCGCTTCCGGCCTGGCCGCCACGTGTCTGCGGCGCCTGCAGGCCGTGGGGCCCGCGCCTCCGCTCTGTGGGCCCGGGGCCACGGCCAGGGGGGGGCGCCGGCTCAGGCCCCGCAGCAGGATGAGGGGCTCCCCGCGCTCACTCCCCGTCCCACCCGAGGGTCTCCCTGCCCGCCCCAGGGGCTCCCCAAGCTCAGCTCCCCATCCCCCCGGGGGCTCCCCAAGCTCAGCTCCCCATGTGCCCCAGGTGCTCCCCAAGCTCAGCTCCCCATCC